TTAGTTTTTTGATATAGGTAGGTAACTCTGTTTGTGCAAAATCTAAAAAGATCTGTATCCCACTTGTTTTGTCTAAATTTTGTTTATAGGAAAAATGTAAAACATTTCAAAAAAATCGAAAAAATGAACTGCAAAAGCCGCATTGAACATAATGTGAATAAAAATTATAAAAAGTGAGCAAATATCGTGCTCTGTAGAGCTGTGTGGTGCCAATAAGGGTTACTTCGGTCACACAAGGGGGTGTAATCGTAACTGATGTTAAAAATGTTGGTTCATGAGCGAAAATTTCCTTTAAGGTGGGTATATATAAATGTTAAAAAAGCATGCAGACTGCATGAATAGGGGCAGAATTTTTGAATTCGGGGATTTTTAGTGTTGCAATTTTTTTTGGTTTAACCTATGCGACTTTGTCTTTGACATTTCTTCTAAAACTCCTTCCCTAAATGGTGCATCCCTAAATGAGAGTGTGATGGTTTCTGTTCTCGTCAAAATTTAGTATTTGGGGTTCTCTCTGTATGAGAATAATGAATCCAGAATTAGTTTTTTTAATTCTTCTTTGTCGATGTGCGTTATTGGGTCAGGTGGCCACGCTTTAGAGTATCGACTGTATTATTTGCTCTTGCATAAGGAATTGATTTATAAAATGAACCACGGATTTAAATCGGGGCGGAATCGAACCGAGATTTTGAAAACTGTTATATTTACTTATGATGATGAGCTCGCATTCAAAACAATGGAGATCACAATTGAAGATTGAAGGTCAAAACACTTTAATCATCATAACTAAATATAAGCAAAACATTATACATGGTGTTACATGTAAGTATGTAAAAAACAAGCACTTTTTCCAAATAAATCGAGGTTTCGATGTGTTTCGTTTGGGAGCCACCCTCAAAAAGTGGTGAAATTTGCATTTCTTCTTTAATTTTGTTCCCAGCAACCATAAGAGACTGGGGGCAAGTTGCGCTCGGTTCGCTCTGCGCGTTTTCGAGCCTGCTCGAGTTGGTGTCGATCCTTAGCTTTAAATGTTTGAGTTGAATTTTTACAATAACTTCGACCCTTTGCAAGAATTGGCGCTCAATATTAGCAAAAGTACGTCCCCACAGCAGCCCCATAACAAACTTTTGTTGTTATCCATCAGTATTTTATTTGAAAGATGCTTGAAGGAAAAGTTGATGGCGTACTATATATTTTCGGGTTCTCACTAATACAGAACACCAGCCACGAAGAACAAGCAAATAGTCAAATTTGTTAAATCATCATTAGGAAAGGTATACATTTCCGGAAGGTTGCCCTGGTAAAATACTAAGATTTGAGCAAAATTCTCGTTTCTTGACCAATTTCCTGCCACCATGGGATAAGTGATGCTCAACTTTTGAATTCAGATTAGCGCATTTTCTGTTAACACAAAGCCCACTACCATTTCAACTTTGCGTACTGCGTCACTTTTTAATAGGGGATGTTCGCTTCAGTGGGTCCACGTTTTCATTTGTTTACACGTAGATACGAATTAAATCAGTCACTCACAAGATTTGCCCCATTATTTTTGACAAGCAAAATTTTCCATGCGTCAAATTCGAAGTTTATATTATAGCGAATCAACTCTTCAGTCAAAAACATATTTTTTTAAATCATATTTTTGCCTAATAAACCAAAATTCGTTGTTCGGTTTGGACTGTGATGAAAAATAAAACTTTCTGACGTTAATGGAGCTGTTGGAAAAAGTGATTTTAAATCAAACTAGACTCGTTTCATTTGGGATGTTGATGGAAATTCTTGTCCTTCAAGTGATGGCAAATAATGTGCAAATTATCTGGTTATATTTTTACGTTGTTTTCCATGATGAACGGTAGCCGAAGAAAAATTGGAAATGAAGTTATATTTAAGCAATTAAGACGAGCGTTCTTATAATTTTTATTACGAGACTTCAAACCGGTTGTTAGTTAATGTATGCCTGAATTTGTCAATGGCTTAAGATCTTCCTTAAGCAATTATTAGTGCAGGATTATTCATCGGCTAAGCAGAGTGATAGCAGATTATCTCCGAATTTTCTTTAAAAAATGAAATGTCCAAAATGGACGCATGCGTATATTAAGTAAAGAAATTGTGACTACTGGTTTCTTATATGGTACCCTTATTGAGCGGTCCGGCGGGCGAGTCACCTGGCCAGTTCAGTCCGACTGTAGACATCGCACTACGCACTACGTTAAGGTCACCCTACCTACTGATAATCATCATGTAGTGCGGTAACGTGTTAACGAAGTGATTGGTGAAAAGTAGTGATTATCCTAATAGTGTGCTTTCGTGACTTCTTTTCTGGATACGTCAAATTGTAAAAATTAGGTGAGAAGTTGTTTTTAAAAAATCACGTTTTTTTGGCAAAAATGTTGTCGCGGCGACGAATTTTATGGCGATATTAATATCGACTTTATGAGGTAGTTTTTTGCGATGTGCCAAATTTTCGAACATCGCGAAATTTGGTGATGGGTTAAGTGAATCGGGTAATTTCTGTGTGTAAGGTGGGATGCACATGAGCTTAATTATAGCGTCTGTGAACGTATAATTTGCTAGCTGTTTTTCAGTGGAGGTTTTTGAGGAAGTTTTCTTTGCACTGAGATTTTTAATTATTAACATTACCGTCTCGGTAATTAATATGATTTCGGGCAACGTGTTTAGGTTTATTTTATCAAACGCAACTTGTGTCCGTTGTCGCTTGAAGTCTATAGTCCGACGGCTAAAAGGTCTTACACCGAAAAAGAAAGGGTGCAACCCGGTCATACTGATGATATGCGGCCATAAAAAATTCCCACTGGCCTTATAGGGCTGTACAAAATCATTACAACTAATAAGGCGATTTAGTTTATTTGCTAACCTTCTATCGGCTATAATTTCCATACGCCTTCGCTGTTATCAGAATACTTTCGGTAGAAAACTGCGACTTTAGAACGTTGGGTGTTTAAATTTTGTGCAGCCCTATACTTTATTTATAGTTAGATTAGATTAGGGTACGGGACAAGGGCTAAATTTTCCCGTAGTCCACCGCTGGCCAGTCTACCTGAGTTCGTTCGATTGTCTCACGCAGTTCTCAAGAATAGGCTCTCCCTTTTAATTCTAATTATACTTCGCGGCTTCACATCATTAGCAAGCTTTTTACATTCTTAGTTGAGATGTCAAGCAGTGCATGATGATATTAAATAATTCCATTGTAATCCCATTTGATATTTCGTGCCATTTCGTGTACAGTCAGTACCTAAAAGCTCTGTGCACTTACTGTACGTCGAAATTGGAAAGCTAAAAGATGAGATTTATAACTAATTAGATGCTACTAACAATAGGGCGATAATTGCCTCGGCCACTTAAACACTCCTTTAGTGTGAAAGTAAATATTTGGGCAATGTGATTTTTTTTAAACGAAGGGTTATCAATGAAAGGTGAGAAAATCATGACTGTATTTATCCAGGAAATCTATGTACGTATCATTCTGACAAATAACGTTTAATATTACTTAGAACATTTACATAAACAAGCATTACCCATCGCGAACCGTTACATTAACGATAAGGAATTTGAAATTTTACACCATATTAAACAACATTACCGTAATATGCAGTTATCGGCAACCTTACTTGATAGCAAAGTGATCAATCGATAAAGTAATTGCCATTGCAACTGAGGGGTAACAATTGCGTGCGGGTGCGTTTTTAAAGTGGCGGTTCTGTGGTTGACGTTTTCCACACCGCGTACGTAATATTAGAAAGACCGGTTCGTGTTTAATCATATTTTGTATTTACACCGCAAGTAGAAATTTACAACTGTAATAATGTGATAATTATTACCTGTATGGGAGATTTTAATATTGATTTTCTTTATAGATAATTGAACTTTTAATTGCGAGTTATATAAATCACTCGAGTGTTGGTGATTAAAATGTTCGTAGGCGTTATCGAAGCTTCTTCTCATGTTTATCCGAAAGAAGCGAACCACGGTCATTTCTCGGTAGTTATAAAATTGTATCGATGGAACTATTAGACCATCCGGTTGAAAATAATAGCTTAGCGTTTGATATATAGACTCTATTAGCCAGTTAAGTACTTTGGACTAATTGCTACCTCCATACACATTATTACGCTGCATATAATATATATCCAGAATCTAAACAAAATTACACTCGGATTCATTTCCAAATGTGTGACCTGTCTATAATTTATAATAATACATTTAGTTGAACTTGCACCCTCATCTTCCATAACGTTTTCACATTATTTACCCCACGTGAGACTTGCAAAATGACGTTACATAATTGCAATAAGTTTGGTTTGAAATACATTTACATACATGCATATAAATCCCGACGATTCTTATATGCAAATAGCTTCCAATAAATAACTCGGGAGTTGTGCCCTAGAAATGCAACCCCTAAGACCTATTTCACGCCTATTCCAAATAGAAAAACCAATTTCGAGCAATGGATAGCTACTTATTCAGGACCTTTTAAACCGCTTTATTTACTTATTGATTTATTGACACCCTTAAAATCGTTTCCTTCCACCAATGAGTCGATTATTCGTCAGTGCGTACCTGTTGCAACTTTTGACCTACCCTGCCAGGAACCGATTTTAATAACGGTAAAAAAGGAATCAAAACCTCAACTGCCTTAATAAAGGAGCGACCGTTTTAAACAAATTCAGCGATCTAATCTATCGCTATTTATTTAAGTGGAAGAATTTACGAATTCGATAGGAAAAAAAAATTAAAGCGGAGATCTGATTTTAAGCCTGTCGACGTTAATTTATGATCATTGGTTATTTTTTCATGATCGAGATGTCAGCTCGAAATGAAATCGTAAAAGGATCATTGATATGCGTAAGTAATATGATTGATATATTGGGGTGTTGGGTGTTGAAAAGATGCAACACGTTACTTCATCTCGTTACCTGCTCTACACAAACACAAAGCTTTCATGCGTGCACACCTTTATATACATACACACTGCAACATACCTCTTAAAAAACACCCTTTGTTAGTCACAATAGTTATGATACCGCTTTATATCCCACGTCGCGTCACATCATCCACTTTTAACGTATCATCGTGCTACTGTACAGATTCTGCCATTTTCAATGTTTTGTTTTAAAATGTTCATTACATACCCAGAACAGGTTCTAAGCTGTGTTCATTTAAAATTTAAATATATTCATTAATGTTACCAGCGCGGTTTACACAAATAAAAATTATACCTATGGACAAATGAGATATAATGAAATTTATTAATTAAAAAAAAATTAAATGTCAACAAGTCATACTTGAACTTGAGCGCAAATAAAATTTGCTAACGCTGAGGTAATCGATAACACCTTTGCATTAATTCGATTGACGTAATTAAGTTCGCCTTTTGTTCAAAAATTCTAAGATTCTAAAATAAATTAAGAAAATTCCTACATCCCAAAATTTGTGATACAAGCCGTAGGCAAACTAAATAATTTTCATAATGGTTAAATTATTTAAATTCGTTTCTTTGATTTTAATCTAAAGTATATTTGTTTTTTTTTGTTTATTTTAATTACGAAGTCCGAATCGTGATATTTAAAAATGCTCCAAATAAAGAAACTGCTTAACCCATTTAGAATTCTACTTTAATTGAATTCATTTAACTTAATTAAATTGGTAAAGTTGGAAATGAAGTTCAATTGGCGATGAGAAAAAAACGAAGCTTTCATCTGGACTATTACCCATGATGTATTTTGGGGTATAATGAAGAGAATTGAGTGGTGGTATCCTTGAAATGATGTGGGCTTTCCCAACTAACGAGAACGCTCATTACCTGTGATAGTTAAACAATTATTTTAATGTCTTTGCTATTACCTTTAGAAAGTGTATATAGTGAGGTTCGATTAGGAGGGTATTATTTATTTCGTTTGAAAATTTTAGAGCCTACATTGAATTCTTATCGTGATTTTCTAGGGTTGCTTAGCTATGAATAGAACATTTTCTTCTAGAGAAGAGATAAAATTACGGCCATATTTCAAAGTGATTTAAAATATCATCGTTCCATTTCTTTGGTTGTTGACGACCACATCTAATTGTCGACCGGTTAGCGGTCTTCTTTAAATGGTACTCCGTTGTGGATAATGATAACTCACTTACCCTGTTTTGTGGCTTTAGCACCTCAAAGGAAACCGGTACCTTCGAGATAAAAAAGTATCACTAGAGCGTGACTATTGCACGATAATCAAATTATAATAGCAATGCTTGTTTGAGTATACAGAATTTATATAACATATAACTTCTCTGGTTGTATTTTTAACAAAATTATGCATTTATACCAGGAATTTCTCTTCGTCGGTAGTATGATCCACTTCATTTCGAGCTTGCCATTCATGAGAACGTAGAGACGATGCCTGTCCGTCGTTCCGCATTCATTTTGTCGACGCGTAGTATGACAGACGTTTCATTTCTAAAACAGTTCATAGCGGTCCATGAAAATCGTAATGTTCGAAAGGAAGTTAAAGGGTTTCCTCAATCTCAAAATCCCTCATTGATCTACATACATTATGTATTGGCTAAATGGAATAAATTCGACCATAAATAAATTGGGTCGTACTAAAAAAACGTTCGCACACGTCGTATTACCTTTATACTGTACGTGTCATGTAACGAACTTGTACATTATCTAATTTTTGTATTCTTCTAAACATTCAGAACATAATTTATGTACATTGTCCTAATCTTCAACTGTTTCGGAGATATTAAATGTTAGATTTATTGCAAAAATTTGCATTAAAATATTTAAGAAATTTGCAACAACACAAAAACGAATACGTAATACTGTTTATTTATTGATAGGTAATGTAAAAACACAAATACACGAATTTCAGCTAACGTTCAACATCTTTGTGTTCTTAAATCATCTAAATCGAGGGCTTTAGTTTTGTATATACGTAAGCAGTCATATCATGGAATCGTGGTGGCCTCCTCCCTACCCATGGATGGATTGTAATGGAGTGGTATCCCCTCTTGTTACAACTATATCATATTCACTGAAACTTGTGGGTTGCCGGTTCAGGATATAATTTTGGAAATGAAATATGTCTAGAATGGTTTGAAGAATCAAAAAGTTGAAAAATGTACGGGAAAGTTGGTACACGAAACATCCTGTATTAAAGTTTTTGTTGAGCAAAAATGGGCAACTAAAAATGGACGTGCCCGAGCAAATTTTTGGGCACGACCGCATGTATTTATTATCGAATTTACACCATTTGGCTGATGCGCACTGTACGTTTGGGGCGAATCTGACGCCGTCAGCTGCAAACCAATTCTGTGCTTCGATTTTTCCTAAATAATGTTCCAATTTAGGTGTAAAAACTCAAAGTGTACCTGCTGGAAAAGTCTAATGGATCGGTAGCGTCATACGTTGGATCATTTATAATAATATATATTTTTCCGCGTCTAAGAGCTGCCAATATTTTTCAACAATTTTCGCTCTTGACTTTTGAATATCAGGTGCAGACTGCGCAATGCCAACTAACTTTCTTAGTAATAGAGATATTTTTGTTGAAATTTTAACCAAAGATTCTTCTAGTAAAGACAAACATATCGCATATTTTAAATATCCGGTGTGCTCATGCGCAGACTGCACAATGATGAGTTTTATTTATAAAAAAAATATTTATGTCTAAACTTTGTACGCATAAATAGGCCGTTACATAACCCTTCGTGAAGTACTAATCAATTTATGGAAAATGCGCTCTCCTTAAAGGGAAAACCTTTCTTCATTTTTTAGTAATAAACGCAAAAAAATTACTTCCGTGATGCAAGCCTAGACACCATAACGAACCAAATAGCGAAAAAAAGCAGAAAATCGCTCTTGAGATAAAGATCTAGTAGCGTCACAGCCGTATAGGGACGGACAAAGTTTTGTGGAAATGCGCTAAAAGATACTATATTATCCGCGCTCTGTCCGTCTGTCCTTATCGTACGTGTTGGTCAACAATTACATAGATCGTATATGGATATGACACAAACGCTTATAATTAGTCAGGAGATAAACCTCTCCCTTTCAAGTTTCAATGCGCAATAGCAACCACTCAGGGTTGAGAAAGGGCTAGAGATGGGAAATGTAATTACTACAGCAAATTCGGAAGTATATAGTAGTAGCGCCCAAAATCTTTAATTGTACATCGATTTCGTTTTGAAAACGCCCACATGAATTTTTTCGATGCCAAAAAATGAATTAAAGCATTTTTGACCAAGATATATCCTTATTTTTATACACCGATTTCATGGAGAATATGACGGCGAAAGGCAGATACAGTAGAAACCAATTCCTTTCGTCGAGACCTATCATTAGAATACCATGAAGGGTATTTACCCGCTTTCTCCTTCCGTCCATTTTCAAAAGTTTTACACCGCACCACTAGAGGCATGCGTGTGCAAAATCTGAGACAAATAATTAATGGGGATGGCCCCCCCTTAAGAAGACAGGCCGTCTGGCACACCTTCAAGGTATAGGCAACCCATTGCAAGAAATTCCAAGGGCAATTCCCCTAAAAGTAAAACTTTCGGACAGACGGACGGACAAAACGCAAACAATTTTTTTAATCCTTAAAAATGTGGCCACGCTGCGGCCGTCTATCCTAATCCTAGGATGTGTTGGTCAACTGTTACACAGATCATATGGGTATGACACGAACGCTTATTTAATGTCAGGGAGTAAACCTGCCCCTTTTAAGCTTCTACGCACAATAGCAACTCCTCAGGCGGCGGAGAAAGGGATAGAGATGGCAAATTTAATTACTACAGCAGTTTCGGAAGTATATAATAGATTGCTCGCTCGTATACATGACCAAGAATTCATATGAATTCGTTCGATGGAGAAGAATTTAAAGCATTTCTGGTAAATAAATGCATTTTGGTTAAAACATATCCTAATTTTTAATCACCGATTTTATGGAGAAATTGACTCGACGCTTTAGAAGTAGTGAATTTGACGCATTTTTCCTTTCGGCTCGGTCGAACAGTTGTAGGTAGGTCTCTTTAACCGCATTAATGTATAAAAGTGTCCGCCATTTTGTTCCAATATGGCGGAATTGACTGATTCGCGAACTTGACAGAGATATTTATGAGTTAGACCGACCCTTAAAGTTTAGTCGAAAACGGTTTATAATTACGAAAGTTAGAGTGTTTCTTTGAACCTATAAATACACTGGTACCTACAATAGCTACATAGAAATAGTTTTTAATCTTACTTTGGCTGACTGGCTGGCAGCAAATGCGCGTCCGTAGAAAACCGCTTGCAGAAAGACGAGGAGTGTGCATTTGTGCAAATGTATCTACTGGCACCGGGGCCGTGTAATTAACAACTTAATCGGCGGGGTTACATGATGTGGCGACATCTGGGCGCCCATTCCGTGTTATACTAACCTGAGGATTTTTCAGTTTTTTTTTCTTCTACAGTTTTGGACCGATTGTTTTCAAATTGGTGTCGCCTGCATGACTGAATTTAAATAATTAATTTAAATAAATAATTTAGCGAAACCCACCCAACTGCGAATTGCGGGTGAACGGGACGTCGGAAGTGGGTACTGACAAAGGGAATGTGAGAGCCCTCGACAAGATCTTATTGATGGTAGAATCAAAACTGGCTAATATAATACTGATCTGCAACACAAAAATGTACTGAAGTCTCTTCGATCTCGCGCTAGGGCTTTGCCTTGATTTCTTCAACTGGTACGCACTGTATGTTTGAGGCGAGTCTGACTCTGTCATTTGAAAACCACTTCTGTGCTTTCATTTTCTTTAAATAATGTTCCAATTTACGTGTAAAAACTCAAAGTACAATGATAGAATTTTTACTTGGCAACATCTAATGGATCGGCAGCGTCATACGTTGGATTATTTATCACGTGGGAACGATGTAGTTTGATGTAATGAATTTTCAATGACTAATTGCATTGTGCCAAAATCTGATAAGCGTTTACAAGACGGCTTAAATCAAGATAGGAAGAATCACATACGATTGTCAGTATAGGGGAAGTTGTTGACACTCAGCTTCCATTTGGAAACCCCGTCATTTAATCCGGCTCATATTTAATA